AATTTTATTATTAATTTCCGTATATAACTTCTTTAAAACAACGTGTTTTCACAAAGTTTGATGACCGGTTTTTTTAAGGAGAGGAATATATTTTGTCAATCAGTTTGATTTAAAGTAAAAATTCCAAAGCACAAAAAACTTGCATATTTTTAATGCTACAGAGGGCGCCCTCTACAATTTACACCAAAGTGATTGATAAATTAAAATTCGTTTCTTAAAGAACCCCCAATTGTCAAAGAATCACCAAATTTTGTGAAAAAGTGTTGTTTTTTAAAGGAAATCGAAAATAAAGTTATAACTTTGACACCTTCTATCTTGGTTAGCAATAACTTTTGGACTAAGGTAAATTTGAATCTGTAGTTTTGCTGTGGCCCCTTAATAATGTGATACCCTGTATAATTAGGCATTGATATAATTAAGTTTATTGTGTGTTTTTGTGGAATACTATACCACGTCTTCCCATACCACTTAATTTGTCACCAAGAATCTAGTGACTGTAATTCATAAAACAATCACGTGCAATACAGCACAAGTAACGCAATTCTTGTTTTTAGAAGAAATGTATGAAAATGTAAAACAATTTCTTACCTCTGCAATGTAGGTCAAATTAGATCAATGGAGTCGACTTCTGAAACAAGGGTAACTATATTAATGTGACACTAAATAAGGGATAAGTGCAATGTAGTACATCAACAACTATTTTAATTAGTAAAGTGTGATTTAACCCTGTTGGCCTGTTCGGGTCTATTTGAGCTGAAATAATTTTTCTTTTCTTGTTAATCTTACATAGAATAACTTATTATTTATAGTATTCTAAGATTTGATTACTTTGTTTCACAACGTAAGGACCTTATTTTAACGATTTATTGTTTACTTTTCTAAAAATTGTAATTGTCACGCACGATGCATATAAAATTATGTTTGAATGGCGCCTATTAGAAATTAATAACATTTTATTTCAAAAAAGAAACTTTAGGTTTAGGAAGAGTTATTGTCTTACATATCAGTGTGTAAAAACGATTTTAGTTGTCGCTTTTAGGAATCTAACCCATATTATAGGTATGTAAGAAAAATTTAACCCATTAACGCCCAAACGAACACAGTTTTTGTCCTTTTTGGAGCGTCAATCTCGAATAATATATAATTCTCATGATTTCATCATGAAAACCTCAACACCGGAAAAAATCTCCTTTTGAGGTTAGAATGACAAATAATTTTTTACTCAGATAGAACGCATTTTTATGAAAAAGATTGAGAGGACTTTTCCATCAGAATTCTACGTAAAATATGACTGTAATTTTACCGTTTTCAAATTTTGAATTTTCAAGAATGATGTCCGCCATATTGAATATGCCATCTTGTATTTCAGACTTTTTTCACCAGGAATAACTGAAAATGTTACTAAAACATGAAATGACATAGGAAAAGTATAATTACAAACTGCTATTTACTTTTTTTTAATGAAAACCGCGCCATTTATTGAGAAATCCGGCCGCCATTTTAAATCCGCCATCATTGAAAATTGAAAATTTAGTCAAATATATTCTGTAGTATTATTTTGATTGAGGGAAATGACTGTGGATCAAGAAAAAAATCACAATAACATTATTTACTCGTTAATACTAGAGAAAAATTCATATTTCATGAGATTTTATGCAATATCCGCCATTTTGAAAAGATTAGAGTCAGTTGAGGTCGGCAAAAAAAAGTTCTATCATCAACTCCAATTATTGCCTCCACCTCCCTCCACAATCCGGAGTAGGTTAGAGTACTTTTTGGACTAAAATATATATATATATATATAAAATAATCCCCAAATTTTCAGTACTTTTCTCCATACAGTCAGCCATATTTTTTTCTACAGCAATTCTGACCCCGGAAATCGAAAGACCACATCCGAAAACATTAGGATAAGTGGTTTTTATTGAGTGAATTCATTAATTTCCCTTCGAGATTGACGGCTCCAAAAACGACGAAAAATTGTGTCCGTTTGGGCGTTAATGGGTTAATTTCATTCATTTCCGAAAGCCCGTTATATCATTACATGCACAACGCAGCAGTTAGTTTTGAAGTAACTCCAAGATAGCACAGGTCGCGACAAGTGAGTACAAGTTTGTACTTGTTTATTTCCTCACCCTGTAAAACTTGGTGCTCGTTGCATCTTTTGGCCGTCAAGCAATGACAACACAAAGAAAAATGTTTTGCAACAATTGTAAGAAACAAATGTAAATTATTTTTGACCAGATTTTGTAAATCATGAAAACCCATTTTTTTGTTGTTGTTGGGAAGCTGATGGATTTAACTTTATTTGTCTTCCTCTTCAGATTTATAGTTACTGTAATAATGTTTTAAAATATATTTGTTTTCTGTTTTATAATTGAAAATGTAAAGAATGACAAATCGAATCATATTGACCTAAACACTACATTTATACACTGAATTTGAACACAAATTTTATTAAGCATTCTAATAGAATATAACTGAATGGTAATGTATAAATGATGAAACATTAAACATTTTTCGATAAAATAAGTTGTGTATTTACTGAGATTTTGATTAGATAGAGTAAACGTCTCAAAAAGAGGATCATTTATTACTCATCCGTGGGGGTGTGTCTCCTATTAAGAGCAGGCGCTTATTCAGCAGCCTTTTTTTTCAAAATGAAAGATTTCAAAAGAAAAATTATGATAACTCTTGGAATTATTTGGTAGTTTACAGCACTTATTAAAGGCACGTTATATAACTCAAACGCGCTGTTGTTTCAAGTAGCAAATTCATCGAGCGTCTTTAAGCTTATTCCAAAACGACACAAACAGCCTACGAAGCGCGACATAACGTCAAGAAAAATACCCTCCCTGTTTACACTGGTGCCTCCCGTAAACATTTCCTCGAACGTCTTCACAAATCTTTCGCTAAATTATGCAGATGCCCTCCCATCTAATTGAAAATTCAGGCATCTCCGTCAATATTCCCGAAGACGTATGTCAGAGTTCTCAGGGATCTGGTGCAGTGTTGCCAACTTTTCACGCACGAATATGACAATCGCTTAATTTAGATCAGAGGTTTCCAAACTGTTTTGCCCTGTAGGCCACTAGACGTTTTCCATATAGCCTCTGCCTACCTAATATTGAATTTTCCTAATCTTATTAACTTCAAACATGTTTTTGACAGCTGACACAGTGCTGCTGACTTTGATAGGATTTTTTGTAGATGTACATAACTTAAAGTAATTTCTTGTACAGGGTGATTCAGAATTATGGTGCAAAAAAAGTAATCACAGTTAGAGGTCTTAAAATAAAGAGACACGTGCATTTTCGTTTTGGTCAATTTCGATTTTTAAGGCCCGTACAGGCCTCAATGGGATGTTGGGAAAACAGTTTTTTTGAGATATCTCGATAAGTATTTGATCGATTTCAATGAAATTTGGAGGGTAATCTCAAAATAACCTTTCTAATAGAACCCTTAGATATTATTAGATATTTTTAGACCTGCCGCAAGGGGGCGCTACATAGAGTCACTACATCGCAGTCTTTTGCTTCTAATTCTTTTATTCAATTATCTTTTTATGTTTTTCTTTCTTTGTTCTGATGTAGAATTAATTTTTACACCAAAAATGTCCTCTTCTCTATTTTTCACATCATGCATCCATTTCGAGAAAAATGCGAAAAACTGTTTCAATGATCTGACTTACGATACTGCGAAACTACAAATTATCACAATTGCCATGAAAATAAACAAATTAAAACATCAACAATGACATTTTGACGTTTACTATTTTTATTTGCCACTTGGATTGATGTGCTGTGAGTTATTTAATTACAAATTTTCCTACCCTTATTTACCATTATAATGGCTGAGCCTTTTTACGTTTCCTGAAATGGCAGACATGTATTTAGTTTATGGTTGGTGTAACAGCAACTCAAGTGCTGCAGTTGGGAGATATAGACAAGTGTTTCCTAACAGAAGAACACCCTCTCGAAAAATATTCGATAATATTGATCGCCGCTTGAGAGAATCTGGTACATTTTATAAAACTAATCGCAATGCAGGAAGACAACGGTTTGCGAGAAATGTAAATATAGAAGAGCGAGTAGTATTAAACAGTCTGAGAAGATACTACGTTGAATACCAGACGGTTAGGTATGTTAGAGAACATCTCCCAATCTAACGTCTGGAGAATACTCCACGAATAAAGTTTGTATCCTTTTCATGATGTAAAGGTTCAGGAATTGTTACCAACCGATTTCCTGAAAAGGTTAGAATTTTGTAGAGCATGTTGCAAAAACACAGAGGTGATCCCTTGTTTTTTAAAAGGATCATTTTTACGGATGAATCGTGTTTCACAAAATGTGGGATTTTTTATTTAAGGAATCACCATGAGTGGGCGGATGCAAACCCGCGTGCTACCGTAACCAGACATTCACAGTTTCGATTTAAGATTAATTATTGGGTTGGAATATTAGGAAACAACATCCTAGGCGCAGTTGGACCCCCAAGTAATTTAGAATCTGTGAATTATCTTGATTTCTTAAGAAATGGGCTACAGGATTTATTGGACGATATCCCCCTTCAGGATAGAGTTAATATGTGGTTCATGCAGGATGGCGCTGCACCACATTATGCGTTGCTAGTTCGGCAATGGTTGGAGGAAAATTACCCAGAAATATGGTTTGGACGGTTTGTTTAGGCTTCACAATTATGGCCTCCCCATAGCTCCGACTTAAATCCTTTGGATTTTTATTTGTGGGTTGAATTAAAACAAAGTGTCAAGTTCTCGCCAATTGTTAAACATTGACGATTTACGCGAAAGAGTGAATAATAATATTCTGCGTATTAAATTATCTGTTGATGTGTTGGAAAAATTACGATTTAACGTTTTAAAACGAATTCGGGCCTGTATTCGAGCTAATGGTGGACACTTTGAACAATTTCTAAAATGAAAATTTTGCTATTGCTATTGCTAAAATGAAAATGTTCGCTTGTTATTTTTCATATAAACCGCGGCGATAGCTCAGTGGGTAAAGCGCCAGGTGAGAAGGTGAGAAGATGGCGATTACTCCGAGAGCTATTATCTGCGCGGGTTCGTATCCCGCCTGTAGCAATTGGCACCTGTCACAGGGTTTGGTTGTGTGTCCTACGTCTTTTTCATGTGTATTCTCCCTCTGCACAGTTGTAATAACTCTTAGAGGGAGAATGTCAATTTCTGTGGTGATTTCTGTGGTGATTATTTATTATTATTACTAGTTTAGTTCTTGTTGTTTATGTTAAATTACTTTTCGTTTGTTTTTGTCCTTATTATTGATAGTTTAATTCTTGTTGCCTATGTTAATAAAAAAGTTCACTGTTACGCTAGATGTTTTAATTCGTCCAGTCACCTGTTTGTTTCCATGGCAATTGTGATAATTTGTAGTTTAGCAGTATTGTAAGTCAGATCATTGAAACAGTTTTTCGCATTTTTCTCGAAATGGGTGCATGATATGAAAAATAGACAAGAGGACATTTTTGGTGTAAAAATTAATTCTGCATCAGAATAAAAAAGAAAAACATAAAAGATAATTTAATAAAAAAATAGAAGTGAAAAACTGCGATGTAGTGACCATATGTAGCGCCCCCTTGCGGCAGGTCTAAAAACATCTAATAATATCTAAGGGTTCTATTGGAAAGGTTATTTTGAGACTACCCTCCAAATTTCATTGAAATCGATCAAGTACTTATCGAGATTTCTCAAAAAGACTGTTTTCCCAACGTTCCATTTATGGGCCCGTACGGGCCTTAAAAATCGAAATTGACCAAAACGAAAATACACGTGTCTCTTTATTTTAAGACCTCTATCTGCGATTACTTTTTTTGCACCATAATTCTGAATCACAGTGTATAAAGAATGTCTATTACACTGTTCTACATTTTGAAATTTTTTTGTCGTACCTGATGATTTTTTTGGGTTTTTTTGTGTTTATTGTAATTTTCTGAATTCAAATATGAGCTCGGTTTTTACCCATTTATAAGTTTTTAGGGAAGGGAAAAAGAATAAAAAAACATGAGAAATCCAAACCATAAGCAATCGAAAAAAAAACGAAATCACTTTTTTACAAAATATACTTCATTTTGTATAGAAGAAAATATAATACAATCAATAAATTATTTTGTTGTATTTTTTCGCTTGTACTCGCGGGGATTGGTTTCACGTTTGAGGGCCCTACAGTAGTCAGCTAACATTTTTGGGGTCCATTTTCCACTATACCGCTTCTTCATTTGAGCAATTTGCTGGTGAAATCTTTCGCCGTGTTCGTCTGAAACTACACCTAAATTGTCAGGGAAGAATTCCAAATGGGAGTGAAGAAAATGCAGCTTAAGTGACATGTTCTTCAACCAAATATGTAGTAGTTAGTATAGCAGTTCTTCGATTTTGTATTACCTAGGAAATTGCTCCATTTTTTTGGGATTTTGCTCCAAAGGGTAGTTTCAAAATTTTCGTCTTTAAAGAGTTTTCGTATTTGTGGCCCAATGAACATTGCTTCTTTAAGCTTTGCCTCACTTATACACGCGAATTACCTCTCAAATAAAGAAAAGCATTTCCTTCTGTATTTAAGCCTTTAACAAATTTTTTTATGAGCCCTTGTTTTATGTGCAGATGAGGTAAATAATTTTCTGCTGCTCTACTAAATTTCATTAAGAACGTTTTTCAGACTGAGCACAATGTTCTCACATAACGGCCATTCTTTAACGACATAATGTTGATTTCTGGCTCTGGTATCCCATTCCCATAAAAAACAACAATATTTGGTGTAACCACTCTGCAGTTCTGTAAGTAGTACAACAACTTTTAGATCGGCACAGATATTCCGTTTATGATCTTCGTATTTTATGCTTTGAAGTAAAATAATACACCCGTAATGTTGCTTTCATATTTCGTATGTTGCTTTCGTACGTTGCTTTCATATTTGCAGAATAACCCAAAGGAATAGCCGGTGGTTGGTTTTCCATTAAACAATAAAACTTCCTTCTGACTTGTCTTCGAAGTCAATCAAATCAATCAATCAAAACATGTTTTTGATGTTCTCTAGATTTTGCTACGTAATACGACAATTTACAGGTCAGTGTATGAGTTACATAGGGAGAAATGATCGAAATAACACATTAGTTTGGCGGGGAAGATTTCCATGCAGAACAGTGTTATCAGTATTGTGTAAACACAATTTGTGTTAGATGTAATAATACATTTAAGGAACTTTTTAAATGTTGATGATAGCCTGCCTAAATGAGGTCCACCCACATGGACTCCCATTTACATTTCATCCACCCCGATTTTTTCTCTCGCTGACGTGGACCCCCTGCAATTCGAAATCGATCCGTGGAGGTCCATACAGACCACTTTTTGAATCTATGATAGATTAATGTTTAGTCTAAGTTCAATCCATTAATGCAGGTTAAACAGATAGTTATTTAACTTGATTAACTGATACTGGCTTGGAGACTCATTTTTAAAAATGTATAACTCCGGTTCTATTTGAGCTACAAACTTCTTATTTTTTTCATTTTAAAACTAGAGGACTGAATTTTGATAAAAAATATTTTAAACAAAAAATTATTAACAAATTCATATTGTTATTAACAATTTAATTGTTTAAATAAATTTTTAACAACGGCCCCCACCTCGTAGCAAGTATTTTATATGTTTATCGTATTTTCCGACAAATTTTACATAAAAAACATGTTTTCAAAATGAGGTAGCTTTATTATTACCATTGTTAAAACATTAATTTATATAGCGCTACACTTAAAAAAACGGTTAAATATAAAAGTTGCAGATAATAAAAAATCTACAATTTTGTCCTAACTGTTTTTCGTCATAACCTCAAACTTTTCAAATAAATTGAAAATAAATTTTTTTAAAATCACCTTTTTTTAAAATTTGCCACATTTTTTTGTCTCATGTCGTTTCTTTTTTTAATATAAGTACTTATTATGTTTTTCTTAACAAATAATATTTATTAGTAAATACTTACCAATAAATAAGTAATGAAACCACAATATTTTTTTATCTGATAAAATAATGTTCTATCATTTATTGATTTATACTTTTTTCATGGCATTGATTGCTAATAAATATTATTTGTTAAGAAAAACATAATAACTACTTATATTAAAAAAAGAAACGACATGAGGCAGAAACTGTGGCAAACAAATTTAAAAAAGGTGATTTCAAAGATTTTTTTCAATTCATTTGAACAGTTTGAGGTTATGACGAAAAACAGTTAAGACAAAGTTGTAGAACTTTTATGTTTAACTTTTGTTGATCCAAGCTATAGGTTTTTTTTATTAACGAAAAACCTTTTTTTTTCACGTGTAGCGCTATATAAATTAATGTTTTAACAATAGTAATAATAAAGGTACCATTTTTTGAAAACATGTTTGTTTTTGTAAAATTTGACGGAGAATACGATAAACATATAAAAAAACTTGCTACCGGGGGGGTCGTCGTTAAAAAATAGATTTAAACAATTAATTTGTTAATAACAATATGAATTTGTTTTTAAAATAAAAAAAGGAGTTTGTAGCTCAAATAGAACCGAAGTTATAAATTTTTAAAAAGAGTCTCCAAGCCAATAAACTCGCTATTCTCAAATTTTCGATCACTTGTATTATCGAAAATATGTGAAAAACAAAAAAAATCCTCGGACACATGTCTCTTATTTTTCGATATAGAATCCGTGAAAAAAGTTTCAGCCAAATCGGAGATGTGTCGGTCAAAAAGGTGTTCGGTTTGTAAAAGATTTACCCAATTATAGAGTGAACAAAACTGTAAAAATATCTTACTCTTCTTCGACCATCCCCCCCCTCCAGGGGGTACAGTGGTAACTAAAACAAAATGTAAGGGAATTAAAAATTTGTGAAAACGTATATGTATAGCCAAGCTAAATCACACATTTATTCTGATGTGGTTATGGTGTTACTTATTATCCCACGGTATGGGTGGAGGCAAAGGGGGTTATATTTTAATATGAATTAAGAGATATTCATGTGACGTGTCGTTTTGTAGGTTTTTGAGGTAAAGAAATCAAATATCACATTAATAAACCTCTACTAAAGGCCACATTGGTCATGAAGATCGTATTGGTCATAAAGATCATATTGGTCACAATTATTGTCATATTGGTCACAAACGACAACTATTCGTAGTTGTCACGTTATTTTTTTAACTGTTTTTGACGTTTTTCTAAAAAAATTACAAAATAAGGCATTGTATTAGAAAACTTTGAAAATTTAGATTTGCTAGCGTTTTTTTTTATCTTTCTAAAATACTGATGACGCCAGGGATAATATAATGGACTGTTTCTTTGTACCAAATAAACTATGATAAAAAAATAACTAAGTGACTTACCATTCCGTATTGCATTGATGATATTTGTTGAATTATGTAGTTCGGTACGGGGACGAAAGAATTGCGGGATTGAACTAATTCACTATCACTATTTATTCGAAGTCTAATGAATTATCAGAATTGACTATTATATAAAAAAAGAAAGAAACAACTGCACTTTACTAATTCACCAAAATAAAAATGTTTGAGATTTAACCAACTATATGCATGAAAACAACTATCTATCTATATAAATTCGAATGTCTACTCCAAGCGACAAAAAAGCACGTAAAAAAAATCAAAACAAAAACTTTCTATTTTAATCAGACATATAACGTAACTAACTCGTAACGTGGCGTAACCAAATACAGTATTTAGAACAACAGTTGCAGATAAAAACACAGTGAAAAAGATAACTTTGGTGTAAATCTATTATTTGGTACTGATTTGGTAAAATTTGAAATACTCAGAAATGCCTACTACTAAAAAAATGGAAAAAAAAATATTTTTTTACTAGACACTTGGTGCATGGTATATGGTTACGTACTTGACATAATTGATAGATGGGTACCTAGAAAATAAAAGAAGAAACCATTTTTTTCCTCTGCCATTTTTCAAAATTTCAAATGAAACACCAAATTTTGTATTTTTTTTTTTTTAAGAGTAGGTACAATAGAGATGCAGATACTGTGTCAATAATATAGTACATACAAAATGTGTTTTTTTTAAGTTTTAATTTT